CCCTTCCCCAGCCCCACACCGATGTCCCCACAGGTCCCCGGGCGGGGTCCCTCAACCCCGCGCGCTCCTGTCCCCAACGCCACACTGCCCCACGCACCCCCAGCACCCCCAGCAGTGCTGCAGCCCCACAGCGGGCGCCGCAGGAGCGCACAGCCCCGCACAGGGCAGCCCGAGCCCGCGGTCCCACCTGTCGCTGTGTCCGTCGCTGTCGCCGCTGTCGCCGCCGCCGCCCGGCTCCGAGTGGCCCCGCGCGCCCGCCCGGCCGGGCCGCCCCGCCCCGCGCGCCGGCCCCGCCCCACTCACGTCTGATTGGCCACGCCGCCTGCCCGTCTCAAATTACGCCTTTCCATTGGCTGCGACGGAGGCGATATGCAGATTAGAGCGCTGTGCCCGCCCCCTGGCGCGCGGTGCCCGCGCACTCACCCGGGTGGCACCGGCGGGGCCGGGCGGGAACGGGGACGGGGGACGGGGGACAGGGACAGGGAACAGGGACGGGGGACACCCGGGCCAGGCAGGTGCCCGCGGTGTTTGACCCCGTGCCAGGCCCCGGGGGGCTCAGCCCCATGCAGTGCCCCGGCCACATGCAGCGCTCCTCAGCCCCCGGGCTGTCCCCAAACCCTCGGCTCCTTGCGACCCCCGCAAGGACACCCCAGCCCCGCAGCTGTCCCGGAGGTTCGTGTCCTCGTTCCCCCAACTCCCTAAGGGTGGCCCAATCCCTCCCAGCTCCTCCGGGTGTTAGAGAACATACCGCGCTGAAAAGTGAAAATTGCCTCCTAGTTGGGGACAGAGAGATGTGGGTTTGGAGGACACGGCGGCTGCTGGAACACGCAGAAATGTTCCAGTTCGCCGTGAAGGAAATAAGATTTTTGTCAAGAGCTGCTTCAAAATACCCTCCGAGATTAGAAATCAGTACTTTTGTGATTAAACACCTAATCACTCCTCATCGCTGCAGCGCCTGAGCCAGGAGGGGGCAAAAAAAATGGGGGGCAGATTTAAATTGGGACATCTCTGAGTATTTTTATAAAGTGGTCATTTTTTACCAGGTTTGTGCTGTAATGAGTGCCTGCAGCTCCCAACCTGCACCTTCATTCCCACATGTTGTTCCAATAAAACCCTCAGGGCCAGGCTGAAGGCAGCACTGCGTTGGTGGGTGCTTTCTCACAGGTCTGCTCCTTATGCCGAGTTCGATTTCTCCAGCTGTAATTTAGACACTGATGTCACTCATCAGAAATACAGAGTGAAAGTTAAAGCCCACTTTAGAAAAGAAGAAAAAAAATTGTTTTCATGGCATTTAATTTTTTCCTCTCTAAAATAACCCAGGTGAATCTTGCATCTTTGATTTCAAACATTTTCCTCCTGGCTTTAAATTTCCAAGAGCTTTAAATATTCATTTACAAAACAAAATTAAAATATTGTGGGTTTGCAATACCAGGGAACCCCACAGCATAATTCCTGAGGCAACACCAAAGCCCTGAAAAATCCCACGGAACTAATGACATCAATGAGGGGGTTCAGCCTGCTTTGTCCTTGTAATACAAAAATACTAAATTTGTTTGTTTGCATAGAAAAAAAATAGGAGGAAATAGGAGGAAATAGGAGGAAAGTATCAGAGTTGCTTTTTTAGAAGATAAAAGACATCTTCTAAATCACTGTTATGCCAGTGCCAGACCCTTCAGCTCACTCTGCTTTCTTGGGTGGGGAGATGTCCTAAACCTTCCACTCTCCCGGTGCTGGGGTCTGCCCCGTTCACCCCCATCCCTGTAACACAACCTGGAGGAAATCTGTTCCATAAATAATCCTGTTCTGCTTTGTGACGCCTGCCAGGGGTACTGCTTGTTCCCCCTCGCCCTCCAGCTGGCCACACATGTCCTGCCCCAGCCCTGAGCCCGGCTCTGAAAGGACAGGGAGTCTTGGGGAAAGTCTGGAAGCAGGGAGCAAAGCCAAGGAACCTTCCCTGCAGGCTCCCAAGCACCTCGTGTGAGGTGAGACCTGCGTTCCTGAAAGTGAGGGGAAAAAAAATTAAAATAAAGCAGGGGATATTTTTATTCATCCTTGTCTCCTGTTAAAAATAACCAGCGTTAATCTGCCTCGAGAGCGTGGGGAGGAGAGGAGTCCCTCCACCTCGGCTGCACCCTGAAGAGCCACATCAGTGAATCTCCTGAGAATGGAGGAAGTGGTTTTTCTCTTTTCTCTTGATTTCCTTTCGTGTGTGACAGCACAAACCGATCGTCCCGGGGCAGGGATCCTCCCCTTCCAGGGAGGATCAAACCCATCCTTCCCCCCAGAACCCGGATCACCACTGCCCATTTTGGGGGGATCAAAGCAGCTTTTCCTGCATCCTGACGATGCTGCGGCTTCACCCACCCGCACCCGTGGCGTGGCCACCCCTCCGAGGGCCCCGCTCGCCGCTGGCACCGGGGGTGCAGCGTGGCAGGAGCCGGGTGCCGTGGTCGTGGGAAGCTCTGTGTTTACAGGAGGTGCAGCCAGGGCTTGCACAACAGGCGGCACAGTACAGGAGAACACCGTGTCCTTGCCACTGGCTGTAGGTGCAGCTGAACTGCCAGCAGGGATGGACGGAGCGCGGGGACACGGGGACGTGGGGACGTGGGGGGATGGGGCAGGAGGGTGAGATCCCTTGCCTGGCATGAGGACACTCGGCCCCGGGGATGCAGAGCAGCTGGGAAGCCGCTTTCAGTGCGGAACTCTCCCTCAAGTCTTCCTGCAGGAAGGCCCGTGGGAGGGATGCTGGGTGTAGTCCCGGAATGATCGGCCAGACCCAGCCTGGGCAACCCCTCTGATCCCTCCCCAGGCTGCCACAGCCTCCCGCTCTGTGCCTGGACTCACGGCTCCCACCGTGACTTTTTAACAGCAGAGGGGCCAAGGCATCCCCCGCACATGTGGGGACCCCCAGAGAGTCCCTGCTTTGTCCCAGGTCTGATCCTGCCCTATCCTGCAGTGTGGCCAGGATCTTTCCAAGTGCATTTCCAGTTCATAAATTACCAGACTGTGGCCCAAACTCTGGCCCCTGTTACAAAAACCCCCCCAGGCCAGCAGACAGGGGCACCTCCCTCCAGAGGCTTCACTGGGCCTAAATCCACCCCGGAGTTCCCTCATGCCGCTCCCTTCCAGACACCGGGGACAGCTTTTACCAGATGAAAGGACACAAATATTTTCCCATTATTATTTCCCTTCTGAGGAAACAGGGAAAATCGCTGCCTTCCCCGGCTGGCAAGGAGCAGCAGAGAGGTGCACAGAGCCCAGGGCTCCCCCAGCCCTGCCGGAGATCCAGCCCCACACGAGCAAGGGCAGGATGCAGCAGCGGGGCCGGAGCAGGGAGGATAAATAAAGTCCGGCTTTGCCGTCCTGGCTTGTGGCCACTTCTAACACAAAGTACATTCCGGTCTGGACGTAACGAACTGTACCAGCCTCCGCCGGGGAGGGCGGATGGCTGCGGGTGACTG